CCCCTCACCCCCCACCCCGCTGCTCTTACCTGTCAATGATCAAGAGGGGCAAATTGGTGGGGGTAATTCCATTTTACCAAATTCACCTGGGAAAGTGGAATTATTACTATGATTATTATTATTATTATACAGGATTTATATAGCGCCAACACTTTGTGCAGCGCTTCACAATATAAGGAAGACGTTACACATACAATACCCATTAAGCGCTTAATCTGTTTATCATAAGTCTCCTTTTTTTCTGGTCTTTGTAACATTATATCATGCATATTAACATTATATTTTTTATTCTTTTTCTAGTAGAGAAAAATCATGTCATATGATTCTCAAAATATTTACTTCATATACTGTATTATATATCAATGCCACAAGTAGTACTACTGTATGGATTTTTACAGAAAGCTAAAACAAATTTTTTTTAAAAGCTGTTTAAAAAATAAGTATAACATATAATAGGGACGGAATCATATTTGTCACAGGTAAAAGAGTGTGAAATGATTTTTTTGTAAGTTGTGCACTTTGGCAAGATACATTATTTGTGACTGTTTGTTTTGCTTTTTGCTAGCCAAAGCAATTATGAGCAGCAAACAAAGGGACGTGCATGGATCAGAAAATATCCTCACCCCACAACAAGTCTCTCTGTTTGGCTATGTCTTTCTGATACTTCTGCAGAAGCTGGTCTTTTGCTGTCCCACTATTTGCCAGAGCTGCACGGAGAAGCAGGTCAATTGCCGCAGCTTGGGCCTAGCTGCTATACCCAAAAACTTTCCAAAAACAGTGACTCTCCTTTATTTAAGTGGCAATAACCTTACCAATATACTTCCTAATGAGCTAGCAGAACATACAGAGCTTGCTGTAATTTATTTGAACAATTCTGGAATTTTTTACATTCACCCTGAAGCCTTCACTTCGCTAAGAAAACTGTACTACTTGTATCTCAATGGTAACTACATTCAACGCTTAGATGCTGGATTATTTGATGGACTCTTCAATCTCCACTATTTGCATCTTCAACAAAATCATATTGATGTTCTTCCTCAAGGGTTATTTCAGCAATTGAAAGCAGTCCGATATCTGTATCTTCAGAACAATAAACTCCGTGTCCTCGACAGCAATGTATTCTTTGGAATGATTAAGCTACACACTCTAAATTTAGCCAACAACAATATCTCACGGATATCTGACACGGCATGGCATCACTTAGACAACCTTGAAATTCTATACCTTGACAGCAACAATTTAATTCAAGTGCCTTCCAATGCTCTGAGATTACTGAAAGGTCTCAAAAAACTTTCACTGTCAAATAACCAGTTGGGATCAATACACAATTTTGCCTTCCAAGGTCTTTACTCATTGCAGTATTTGTTTGCAGATAGTGCAAATATCCAAGCGATCAGTGACAGAGCTTTTAGTGGACTCGGCAATCTTAAACTGTTAAGTTTAAGTCGAAATGGGCTATGGGCCCTCGACTCGAAATCTTTCACTCACCTGAATCACTTGGTAAACCTGCAGCTGGACCATAATGACATAGCCACTGTTGCTGATGATACTTTTGAAGAAATGGGGCCATCTCTAAAAGTTCTCAATCTTTCGTTTAATAACTTGACATCTCTGCAGCCTAAAGTACTTCAGTCTTTAATCTCTTTAAACTATTTCTTAGCAAGTTATAATCCTTGGCACTGTGGATGCAATTTGTTGAGCCTGAGAAGTTTTCTGCTTTCTTCATCGTATAAATTTAGCATTCATTGTGAGACTCCATCACAGCTGCAGAAGCGACCACTGGGTAATGTCAAAGTTGCTGAGTTTAAGAACTGTGTGTTTACCACTACAAATGCCTCACCCAAAAAGGATTCTCGGTTATATCTGGCTACAACTGAAGCCATGCACAGCCATATGAAAAGTGCCACATATAAGCCACTCTTTAGTTCTCAAAGTACGGATTTAATGTTATCTGCTGGATCAGCATTTCCTGCATTCAATAGCAATGATACTCAGAGTAACACAACACAGAGCACTGATGAACAGTCACCTGAAGATATCCTGCCTTTTCCACCAGTAAATTTAACCAAAGACAGAGAAAATTCCCTACCACCAGACATAGTTACAGTGTCACTTAAACCTACTGTGATATGCCAACAGAAAGCACAAAGTCTAAAACAATCTTTTCATGTTTTACTCTTATTTTTCATTCTTTCTTGTGTGGCTGTTGCAGTTCTAACATTTAAACTGATTCAGATGAAGAGAAATCTCAGAATTCCTGAAAACCAGGGAGACAGTGTGCTGGAATATTATAGTTGCTATCAGTCCGGAAGGTATCAGGTGACTGACCCTTTACGAATTGCACCTCTTAACCCTTTGCAAGGTCCTGGAATTGACTTGATAAGACCACTCAAGCAGTCCCCTCCAGATGCTCAGACACAAGTCATCTTGTTTGAACACTCCGCTCTCTAGAAACTGTTGAGATGGCTGAATGGAAACATTGGAGTATCATTTATTTTGTTTTGTTATTTGTGATGGTTTTCATTCTCTTAATTGAGTTTGGTTTTTTTTGGAATCTGCTTTGTTTCTATTTAAATAACATCAAATCATTTCAGAACAAACAAAACACATAATAAAATAAATTGTATTGTATATTCCATTATTTTACCGTACTGTGTTATTTTATTCCAAAATTTAGGAATTTGTTCATCTCTTTTACATATTTATTAAATACAATTAATGCATTTATTTGTAAAAGAATGTGGGAGAAAACATATATGAAAATTAAGCTTTTATAGAGTGGTGTGTTTTATTTCCAACACGGCTGATTTACTGTTCAGTAATCTGAAAGAAAGGAGGCAAAGTTGCATATGTTTTAAATATTACAGGTTACTGGTGTTAGTAATGTTATATACATAGGGGTCAATTCACAAAGATTATTGCAGAGCTTTTCTCTCCAGAAAATTCAGGGCATATGGAGCGGGAATGAAATATATATTCATAATAAAAAATTCCTGTACTTAGATGAAAATTAAATTCAGTTCAACCTTTTATCTGAGATTTTTTTCTCAAGCAGCCAGAAACTACATTTATCCGGAATCTACCAATCCCTGTGGATGCCGGATAACCAGGAGTTTACTGTAATTAGGGTGAAGTAGTTAAGGTGAATGCATCTTATTGACTCTGTGGTTGTAACAGTAATGTTGCTAGACTTCTAAAAGATTGGGGATAACCTGGTAAACCACTGGAGGCAGCATATGGTGAGCCTTAGTGGAGTGGTGTGGCCAAATGCAGGTGGTTGTAAGGAAAACCAGACTTCATCTTGTATAGTCACAGTTTTCAAACAGATATTATACACTTAATATGTCTCTTCACAGTATAGGCCTCTGCTTAGAACCAACTCCATGCAAAACTTTTTTTTTTGGGGGGGGAGGGGGGAGATATGGGGATAGCACGGGGAATCAGTAAAGCCCATGTCCGCCTTTTATTTATCAATTCAATATACCCAAAATATGTAACAATATAATAATAAGAAAGGCGTTGCGGACAAAAATCATGTGTTACATAAAATAAACACCACTGTGAAAGTCCATGTGACAAGGTGTATAATTGATGAAGATTATTCCATCCTGCAGCAATTCTAAATAAACTCTTCAAAAAGGTTCAGTCTCTCAGTGCTTATGTGACAGTTCTAAATAAACTATCCACTGTGAATCAAACTGCTCCAGTACTCAAACACCTCTCCCCAGCAGACTATGACTCGCCAAAAAACAATGGCTCTCTTTTTACAGATTGACATATAGGGGTCTATTCACAAAAGGGTGCAGAGTTTGGAGAAGGCAGGAGAAGTGGGCACAGCAAGCAGTGGGCGGGTGCAATAGCCATCCTGTTATTGGCTATTGCAATTTGGAACTGCCAATTGCATGCTGGCTATTGCACCAGCCCACTACCTGCTGTATTTACAGTCATCTGCCGTCTGTGGAATCTTGCCACTGGCAGCTGTCATTCCCTGGCTGAAGCTATTCAAGCACCATGTGCTTACACAATACAATTATAAAAAAATTTTTTTATAAAAGGTGGGTAAAAAAGTCAGTTTTGGCCTGACAATTTCTGCTCTGGAAGGTGCATTGCAGTGCCATTCATTTCAATGGCACACCAAATGCGCCTCCCACCCACAGTGTGATCGCCCGCACTGGGACGCACAGTACTGCAATGCCGTGCATTCCGGTGCAGTGCGTTTGCAAAAGATTGTGCATGCAGTTTTATTCTGAAGTAAACTTTGTTTGTAAAACTGCATGTGTGTATTTTATTTTAAGCAAAGGATGGTATTTACGTTTTTTATCTGATTCATCGCAAAAATAAGTTGCAGAACTAATACGAATACATTTTTTGTACTTGTAGCATGGTTGTCTTTATATTCTTTGCTATAGTGGAATGGAAGGTAAAAATGCAGTTGTGTTCAGGGCACAGTAAATGTGTTTGTTGTATTTTGTGTGATGTGGAGTGCTGAAATGTGATTGTGAGATGCTTGATTCAAGAGTGTGGAAAAATAATTTAAAAGTTTCCATTATTATAGAATCCAGACTTGCCTGTGTCGTCTCATCAGAAGAGGCTGTGGTCTGTAGCACAAATTTGTCAGTTGCTGTGATGCATGTAACTGCATTAGGAGGGTCATATTAGCTTCATAATATTACAAGGACCATGCTGGCCAAAACCTTAATACACAGTTAAAGGAGACCTTATCTAAAACACTAAAATCTGATAAAAGATGTTAAAAATGTTGAAGGTTATGTATGACCAAAAACTAAAAATAAATTTGTATTTCTATATTCAATTTTCATCCCGCTCCTAATAGCCATAATGATCTAGGAATTTGTAAACGTATTGAAGATGCTTATAGTATGTACTTCTTCAATGCAATGACAACATTTTACTCAGTCCTGTGAATTTGCACTTCATTGTGTCAATGCTCTAACAAGTCCTGATATCTGAAGTGCTACACAATGTCTGAACTCTGCATATTTCAGATCCTGCACTTCTGCATACTTTGTGCCGCCATCCCGCCTCTAGCTTCTTAGAATTGCTAGTCAACAGCCTCCCACTGGCAGTGCCAATACTGAATGTTTTTACTACCCTGATGTCTGCTTTAGACAATCCCGTTACCTATACTTTGCCTGCACAGTAAAACATTGTGGGTGGTGGGGAGGCGGCAGTGTGATGTGCTTTTATTTTTAACTTTGTTTTTGGGGTGTGCACTTCATTCAGGCCTCTGTGCAGCAGCCTGTGGTACCATACAATGAGCTGCAGAAAAATGCAGCATGTTGTGCATTGCATATCACACCCAGGTTGTAGTGTAAACAGGGCACATAGAAAACAACTGTGACAGGTGTTGATCAGTTGCTGAAAAATGTCAATGCTAATGGCATGAACAAATTAATAATGAACTAATACTGCCTACCGATTGTTCTTTCAATCGTATAGCAATGACTTTGGAGTTAGTGAGGGGCACAATTAATTCTTCAATGTGGGCAAACCAACCTAAAGTGACATTAAAGTCAAAAACATTTTCCCTTCCCCCAATGTTAATGTTAGCACTTACCTTAAATTATGTCTCTTAATCCGATCTTCTTTCCTGATGTTTTCATCTGTCCCTCCAGCGGTGCGGCGGCTCTCCGATCCAGCGCTGACTCCTCTGTCCTTGCTGGTACTCCCTGTCCAACGGTATCTGCGTGCGGGTGCACGCGTCTATAGACTTATCTTGTGTCTCTCCTCGTCTGCCGGCCGAAAATCCGAACTGCGCATGCGCCCGCCACGAGATGCTTTGCGGTCACCCGAGCAGTTTCAGATTTTCTGACGGGAGCACACGGCGAAGACTGGGTAAGTTTAAACCGCTGTTAAATCGTTTTTGTTGTTTTAACTTTTTGCATATATCTAATGCTTGCTAGCCGTAGATATATGAAAAAAAAAACAAAAACGGAGGCTTTAGAAACCCTTTAAGGAGTGCATTAGACAATAAGTCCAAAATTAAAAGCTAGAGGCCTCTTCTAGTCAGACAGGGAAATTGTAATGCATTGACAAAAATAGAAAGTCACAACAAACATGGGCAACAGTTATGGTTTCTGCATAAAGCGCAGACATGTTTTGATGCCTTGTTGACAGCCTTGTCCCGAAATAATTTTTGCTAGTTAAAAGATTTTTCTTTTAATCAGCACTTTCGTACAATGGGTATTTGCATCTGAACTATTTTTCTTCCCCAAACAAGTCACAAGGTATTGCAAAAGCAACTCAGAAGCAGGTCATAAACTAGTTATAACCAACTCAGAATCAGATTATAAGCTAGTTATAACCAACTCAGAATCAGATTATAGGCTAGTATGACCAATTCAAAAACAAATCTAAAAACACAAAAGCTTCTAGAACTTAACTTCCTTCCATATGATGCCTGGGAACATGAACCATAATACTGAGAATCTTTTCTGCAGTGGTTGCAAAAGGGGTTTATTAGAGACAGGTATTAGCATAGTACACTAGGTATTGAGCACAAGACACGGTGAAAAGAAAGCATGGTCGCTGTAGAGGTAACAATTCCACATTTATCACCGTGGATGGGATCTTTGCATGTTCAGAACTCCATGTACATGACTTGTTCAGGTTTAGTAATCCTAATTAGGGATGGGTGTCTGGTTTCAGCAAACACAATTTTAGAGTAAAATTACAGATTTTGCCTCCCCCAACATTCCTGTCTGATTCTACAGGATCTTTAGCTAGCAGTTTTTCTTCACTACTGCAAAGATCGGTGGTGCAGGCAGCAGGAGAGGCTCTTTCTGCTCACAATATTGTGTTAACAACTAAACTACAAGTGCAATTTAATAAACATACATACTAGAGATGCACCGATACCGGAGGGAGAGTGCAGAGGGAGCATGGAGCCAGCTTCCTTTCCAATCAGGAAGCCAGCTGGCATGTTAGGCGGCACACCAAACAAACCTTATGCAAAAAGAAAAGTTTCCTCCCAATTCTTCTGGAATTGTTGCAGCTATGTATATGATTACCAATACTTTGGAAGGGATAAGTTGAGAAATACTGACCTGCCCAGTGATATGACTACATAACTGCAAGCTTTACATGAACATTTGCAGTACATATATCTATACACTCTGTTAGCGGCTGTGTATACTGTGGGGAAAATGTGCACTCCAAAGACTATTTTTAATTCTGTGATAATCTGATGGTTTGTAGTATAAATGATAATGTGTTGGTTGCAGTAGGTGTGATTCCAATGTAAAATATGTATATTGCCCATAGAAGTCTATTCAGGAGAAATCTGGTTGCCAGGGGCAATGCCCAGGACCTGTTTTGTAACAGTGCTTGGAATAGCAGGATGCACATCTAGTGATGCTGAGTCTCTTCCATTGATTTTTCCGGTCTTGACAAATGTAAGATGAATCCAGTGAAAATAGATGGCACATGTT